ATCCATGACAATAACTGACATCATTTTCAACTGAATCCATGCGTCTTCTTCTAGATTATGATCACTTCCACTTCCAATTTACATTAAACCTTTCGAAACCATCATGTGAATCCTTCGTGGAATAAAAAAACTCATTTCCTTAAAGAACATAGACTTCATTTTTATACAATGGATATATTTGTCTTTCCTTTTTAGTAAATAAACGTATGTTGATGATTGAAAATTTGAGATTGATGTTGCTTTGTTGAAGCATGTTCTTGGTTCTTTATACCCGAATGATTTTAAATTAACTGCATTAGAAACACTAATTGAAACTAGCTAGAAGCAGTTCCAAATATTAAAAAATAGTTAATTTAATCGGTGTTTAATGTGAGACTTAACAAAATAGTTGTTTCTATCGATTATTTGTAAAATACAACAACCAAACAACCCTTAAATAAATGAGACGGAGAAAGACCTACTCTATACTACCAAATGCAATGAGTAACTATAGGGGTTTAACCAACTTTAAACCTCATATAATTAAAGTTAAAAAAAACATTAAACTATGTGTGATCATTTTACATCAAGTCAAATTTCACATCCCGCTGCATTGCGCGGGTACACAACTAGTTATTTACAAGGCGTGACTTTTTCAACATTTAAATTTTTAATTTTCTTATTATTTTAACTTACACTTTTACAAACTTACCTAATCACATCACTTAGGGGGCGTTTGGTTCGTAGAATGGAATTGGAATTCATCAAATGAATTTGACTTTGAGGGAATGAAATGAAATCTGATGGAATTTGACCATGCCTTGTGATTGCGTTTGGTTGCATGGAATTGGAATGGAATTCTTAACGGAATTGGAATTTTTTTTGTTTGATTCATGGAATTCAACTTTGGAATCGGAATTAAATATCAACAAATGACCTTTTATGAATTTTTTGTCATTTAAAAAAAAATTAAAATTACCATTAAACCAAATTACATTATTAACATCAGATAAAATTTGAAATTGTTCACTTATATTACTAATATCTGAAATTTGGATGCGAACTAAGGAATTCGTAGAAAAGGAATTTGAAATCCTTGGTACATCAAGTGGAATCGTGAAATCAATGACCGAATGAATTTGTAGGAATTGAAAGGATTCCTTCACTTATAATTTGTGAACCAAACATCATATTTGGAATTTGGTCAAATGATTAGACATTCCAATTCCTTTCAATTCCACCAAATTCCCATGATCCAAACAGCCCCTTACACTTTTATGAATTCACACATGTCATGGGCTCACAGTTAAAACGAAGTTGTAAAGCTCTTCCAAGTTCTATATTGAATATTTGATCATAGTTAATATATATAATGTTTCTTCTTCTAATATGAATGCAATTTTTTTAACATGATTATATTATTGAACAATAAATAGAAAACATATATGTACATGACATGCAAATATGTCGCCTTATGTCACACCTGAAAAACGTCGTCGTCCTCGCTGTGATGTATAAGGCTTAAAGCTTGAAGTCGTTGTGACGCCATGACTCACACCATTTTAAATATCAGATATAATGTAAAGATGATGAAGTACAAGGGATTGATTGTCCAAGACCCAAATGAGTTGGACCCCCTGTTTCTTGGTAGGTTTGCCCTTGATTATAGGGATTAGATATTATTTAATGAACGATAAAGTAAAAGGGATTGATAGTCCAACACCCAAATGAGTTGGACCCCCGGGTTCATAGTCGGTTTGCCCCTAATTATAGGGATTAGATGTAATTCAATGAAATACGAAGTACAAAGGATTAATTGTCCAACACACAAATGAGTCAGACCCCCATCGGTTCTTTGTAGGTTTGCCTTGATTACAAGGATCAAATACAATTTAATGAAAGCTGAAGTACAAGGATTGATTGTCCACCACCCAAACGAGTTTGACTTCCTTCGTTCTTAGTAGGTTTGTCCCTGATCATAGGGATTAGATGTAATTTAATAAAAGATGACGTACAAAGGATTGATCGTCCAACACCCAAATGAGTTTTACCCTCTCGATTCTTAGTAGGTTTGCCCATGATTCTTAATAAGTATATGTGTAATTTTATAAATATTTATATTTTTATTTCTTCATAAAATAAAGAAATATAATTGAATTAGCTTCAACCCCGACCCCGTTTGCACTCCCCAGACCACTTTGGTATATGATAATCCGCCTCTTTCTCTAGGATCAGACCGCGTGGGTTTTGCATGAACACCAAGTGCACCCTGATTGAACTCCCGATCATGCACATTCTTCACCTTAGAATTCCAATCAAATATGCCCATGTTGGCATGCAAACACAATTTCAGTATCCAAATGTGGCATATATTCGAGACCACCAAATCTGTGTTAGCAACCTTCTTGAATCGGACAAAAAGCAAAAAATTGTCTATTTTTTGAACGTCACGGAGCAATGAACATGTCAAACACCGTTCCAACTTTAACACGTATCCCAAAGCTTCTTAGAAGAGAAGTGAAATAGAAAGTTCGACACACACACACACACTACGAGCGATCTCCTAAACACATGTTAATTTCTTTAAGTCCAAATTAAACACATGTTAATGTTTTTACTTGTGACCTTAGAAAAAAAGATTGGTTAAATGTCTGAAGAATATACATATAATTGAGGATGGCTTAATAGATTAGTTTCTATATTGGATTTTATTTGTAGAAGTCCATGTTTAAAAAATAAAGAATTTAACATATTAACAATTTATGTTTAAATATACAATTTTGCATAATCCTTTTTTACCAAAGAATTATTTTAGTTTTTTTTACTCATTAGTATATTGAGGTTTTGCTACATCACCATTGGTAAAGGAATATATATATATATGGTTGGGTTCACGTGAGACCAAGAGTTTTTCGTGAGACCTGTAAAACCAAATTATGTTCATTGATCAACTTTATAAGCTAATGATCGAATGGTCTAAAGTTGCATGGTAGCAATTTTGTGATTATTGAGAAGTCTTGTGGCGTTTATGAATGTTCAGATCTGACGATTGTAGATCTAACCAAAGAGTTGAGAATTGGTCTTACGGGTCTCATGAAAAACCTTTGGTCTCACATGATCCCAAGTATATATATTCATAGGTTTATTTGAGAAGTAAATAAGTAATTTTAGTCATTCATTTCGAGATTTGCAGCTTTAATTGGTCAAAACTTGCAACATGGTAACAACTATGTGAATAATAGAGGGTTAGTTTCGTAACTTCTAAATAAGCGGCAAACAAGTATATATGCAAACTCGTGTTATTCACATATGAATTACTTGTGCATATGTGACTCGTGTGATTCACATATGAACAATTTAACTGATTCACATATGAACCCGTGTGATTAATTAAATAGTTCATATGTGAATTAGTTAATTAACTCATATGTGAACCACACAGGTTCATATGTAAATCACAACTAATCACACAAGTTCATATGTGAATCAAATATATAGTTCATATTTTAATCACACGAGTTCACATATGTACTTGTTTGTCGCCTATTCGTAATGGTTACGAAACTACCCTTATATCTTCTTCATACCATGCGACTGGATTATCCTGTACTTCAAAGTCAAAACCACAAATGTTGACCAAATGAAGGGTTATGATCACTTCTTTATTTCTCACGCATTTAACACATCTCAAATGAACCACTCTTTCTTTATATAACTTGTTCCTAATTAATTAAAACATTTTAAACATTATCTTGTTATTTTGATCCGGAATAAATAAATTCTAATTAAATTAAATAATCATGAAAATAGAACTACAATCCCTCAGTTATTTTTTAGACTTATCAAAAAAATTGACTCTTCATTTTATAATAATATGCCAATAATTATTCACTTTATATTTGTAACAATTTTATTATTTCTTAAAAAAGTTCGATGGCTACCGTTCATATATCTAGGGACTAAAATGTTTGTTTTGTAATAGTTGGAGGACCATCGAGTAATTTTCTCAAACAAATCCCGTGTTCCTTTACCCACGTCATTGTCAAATGTCAAGTTCTACCAGCTTCCTCCAGCTAAGCAAGGGTTAATTTAGTAATTTTGTGATTACGTAATATACGTCGTTAAACTACCTTTGTTTAGGGGTGAGTAGCGGAACCGGGTATCCGGCTATGGAACCGGAACCGTCGGTTTCGGAACTGATATGAGTGGTTCCGGTTCCTAAAATACGGAACTGATTGAGAATAGTTCCGGTTCCAGTTCTCAATTTTTCGGAACAGTTACCCGCCGGGTATCCGGTATTTTTTAAAAAAAAATAATAATTATTTTTTAATACCAAATTTATATTAGGTTTACATCTTGAAAGCACGCCGTTATCTTCATTCTTCATCTAAATTCTTTATATAGAATGATTCGTATTTTTTCAAATTGTGTGTTCACTTGGATTCATAATATGTAATTGTTAAACTTTGAACATTTACTATTATAGTATGTAATCGTTAAACTTTGAACATTTTATATTAGTCTATTATGTTTGTAATCGTTAAACAATATTTGTAATTATTATTCTGTATAATTTGTATTCCTGCTTATTTATTTAGTGTTTTGACAATGTTTTATTTTTTATTTCTAAATAACAAAATTTTAATATTTTAGGAAGCGGGTACCCGGAACCGAAACCGGTTGCCGGCGGTTCCGGTTCCAAAAATTTAAGAACTGCTCTAACCGATTCCGGTTCCAAAAATTTAAGAACTGCTCTAACCGGTTCCGGTTCCAATATCTCAAGAACCGCCGATTCCGATTCCGATTAAAAAAAAAATGGATACCGGCCTATGTCACCCCTACGGCCTTGTTAGGCCATTCGCTTTTCCGTAATCAATCGATTTAGAAATACTGCACTTATTAATTAAGGACATGTACGTTACGCATAAGATGTTGTACATTTGCTATTGATGTGCTTATCTTTTAAAAGCTGATGGCTTTCTTATTTTCCAGTTTTAACCAATTGGCCCACGTTTCCTCTCTCTATCTCTCTCTTTCCACGCGCTGTGCCGACTCAGTTGGTGTACTCGCTGGAGTTCTCGACGATCCATCCCCGGTTATCTTCGCCACATCTCCGGTGACATTGATTCTTCTTCTTCTTCTTCTTCTTCTTCTTCTTCTTCGTATTCCATGTAAGTGGCTGTTCAAGAATTTGTTCAATTCGGTCGCATTGACTTTTATCATGTATATAGTATGTGCGTATGTGAAATTCTCTTTGTATATAATTTGGAGCTTGTTGCGTGTGGTTTTGATTTGTGTAATCCTAGAAATTGCAGTAACGAAGGTGTCTTTGCCTAATGATAAGATTATGTTATGCTTTTTTTTGTTAAATTTGCGTTATCTTGTTTGATTGTATGCGGATGAATGAGCTCGAAATTGGAATTTTAAGTTGACGTTTTCTTCACGTGCTTATAAAGTAAGTGCTGTTTGATGTGCTTGAAAGGAGCCATCAGTTAGGTTTAGATTTTGATACGTCACAACGATAAAAAATGTGTGGTGCTTGTGCATGTTACTATAGAACTGTTTGGTTGTACGGGATTAGAGTGACTTTTCAATGGAACTACTTTTTGAATTTGATTTTTGGTAATTATACAAAGTAATAGTAGCTGTATTTTTTGGATGTCTTTAGTTTTTCCTTTGTTTTCAATCAGTGGTCAGAGAAATTGTGGATGTTAAATGTTCTTTGAGCCTTGAGAAATGATGAAGAGAGTGACAAAGAAGGTTGGGAAATATGAGATTGGCCGAACTATTGGTGAAGGCACATTTGCAAAGGTCAAGTTTGCGAAAAACACAGAGACTGGTGAGGCTGTTGCTGTTAAGGTTTTGGCTAAAAGCAGAATACTGAAGCATAAAATGGTGGATCAGGTTTGGCCTTCACTTACAATTGTTCTCTCCAACATAAAACCTTACATACTGTATCCATGGATGCCTATGATAGATCTATTGGATCTTATTTCTCTTAGATAGTTCAAATTACCCCTTCTTTGTATTTGCAACTGTATTTTTACAATCTATTATGACCTTTTCGCTTGTCTGATAGTTTTGATCAGCACCATAACTCAAATCAGGGATGCAAACTAGTGCAACTGCTCTAAAGAGGTTGAATAAATGAAACACATAATTCAAACACGCAAGTAAAACAAATTTATGCAATAAATGCTCTTAAGTTTGATGAATAAAATGCAAGATTGAGACGCCCAAGAAAGATGCATAAGATGCCTATTATTAGTATTGTGCTGTTGATATGAAGCCACCAATAATATATTAGCAAGCATTACAGTTACGTAGGCAGTGAATTAGTGTCCTCTTACTGTCTTTGGAGAAGTTACAATACTTCTTTGATGGATACATCTGATTTTAAACCCAAACCATCTTCTAATTCAGGTGGATACCAACTTGTGTCTTCTACATTTCCTTGCGTCTAGTTATGTTAGACTAATTGATTTGAGCTTGTTTAAGCCTCATTATCAATCCTAATCAACTGCAATCTATCAGAGTTTTGATTAAAATGTTATTTCTATTTGCCAAATCAAATTGCAAAATGTATCTCTGAGAAATAAATCTGAGTGCACCAGTTTGGCAGTTATATATAGAATTGTTGGAACCGAAGAAGCCAGCTCCACAAAATCATGCTTGGTACTCTTGCCTTTCCAAGGGTGCAACTTTGTCAAGTAATTTAGCAGTTATTAAGTCTTTGCAGTTGGGGTTATGGCATATTGAGATTAGGTTGCAGAAACAAGTCTCTGAGGCAAGCTGCCAAGCTCTATTGAATTAAGGCTTTCTATATAACATGCATCAGTTAGCCACAACACACTCCATTATGCTTATCATGCCTCCAAACTAATTCTCAGTGCTATATCTTATTTTCTTATTAAGAATATGGGGTGGGCCTGGTGGTCAAGATAGCCTCCCTGCCTGGTATTAAGTTCAACTCTTGCCGCGAGATCCACGTCCTTTTGGGTCAAATAAGGAAAAATAGCTAAAAGCACATCCAATTATCTAGAAAAGGATCATATATTGACATCATGCAGACTCTTGGTAGATTTCAGTGTTGACCATGCACACTTATTGGTTGGACAAACGTGATGCTTCTTATTTTCTTTCCTCTTTATTTCAAGTTATGCTAGTAATTTATCTCTTATTTAAGTTGATTTGCAGATTAAAAGAGAGATCTCCATTATGAAGATAGTGAGACATCCTAATATCGTGAGATTGCATGAGGTATTGAATTCTATGATATATATTTGATTCCAAAATTTTCATTTATGTGCTTGCTACTGTGATATCTTAGCAGATGCCTACTTGATGCGAGCACTAAAATATTTTTCAATGATGTATGTCTTTCCTTCTGTTAGGTTTTATCGAGCCAAACCAAGATATATATAATACTGGAATTCGTCACCGGAGGAGAACTTTTTGACAGAATTGTAAGGTCTACTTTCAATAGAACACTGATACATATTTTCTCTTACATTATTTTAAATATTCTTTTGAGATGTGATCATCTATTTCGTTGAAAACTGTAATCAGAGAGAACTAGGACCGAGATATTAGAGAGAATTCTCTATTATATGATTAATTAGATAAATTCAAATTTACAAGAGGAGAGACACTATATATAAGACATAATTACACGGGAAACCCTAACCCTAAAGCCCACATTACCATAAACAGGTTACTTAATTAACACTCCCCATCAAGCTGGAGCATATATATTGATCATGCCCAGCTTGTTACAAAAAGATGTGATTCGGTTCCCTGGTAATGCTTTGGTGAAAACGTCGGCTAATTGATTGCTAGTTTTGACATGAGAGGTTGAAATAGATCCATCTTCAATCTTTTCCCGAGTGAAATGACAATCTATTTCAATATGCTTAGTTCTCTCGTGAAATACAGGATTGCTTGCAATATGGATAGCTGCCTCATTGTCACACCATAAATTTATCGGTTTAGATTGATTAAATCCAATCTCTCCCAATAGATTACGCAGCCATATCAACTCACAAGTAGTTTGAGCCATTGCACGGTATTCAGATTTAGCGCTTGATCTTGAACAACATTCTGCTTCTTGCTTTTCCAAGATACCAGATTCCCTCCCACAAAGACACAGTAGCCTGTTGTTGATCGTCTGGTTATAGGGTCTCCATCATAGTCTGCATCAGTAAACCCTTCTATGACATAATGACCATGGTTTTGGTACTTGATGCCATAACCAGGAGCTCCCTTCAGATATTTCAAAATATGGCAGACTGCATCCCAATGTGTAGTTCTTGGAGACGACATAAATTGACTCAATACACTTACCGGAAAGGCAATATCGGGACGCGTGATTGTCAGATAATTCAGCCGTCCCACAATTCTCCTATACTTCTCTGGGTTCTCAAGAGGATCCCCATCATCAGACTTCAGCTTTACATTCGGAACCATAGGAGCTTCACATGGTTTCGTGTCGATCATGCCAGAATCATGTAGAATGTAAAGGCAATATTTTCGTTGAGATAGGCAAATTCCTTTGTGATTCCGAGATATCTCAATACCCAAGAAATATTTCAGTGGACCACGGTCCTTAGTTTGAAATTGAGATGCGAGGAATTCTTTCAACTTTTTAATTCCATTCTCATCACTGCCTGTAATCACAATATCATCGACATAAATCACTAGCAGGATACATCCAGAATCAGATGAAGTAAAGAACATTGAGTGGTCATATGAGCTTCTTCGTAACCCAAATGTATTTACCACAGAACTGAACCGACCGAACCATGCACGAGGTGATTGCTTTAGGCCGTATAACGACTTCCGTAATTTACAGACCTTCCCAGACTCCCCCTAAGCAACAAACCCGGGGGGTTGCTCCATGTAGACTTCCTCTAGCAGATCGCCATGTAAGAAGGCGTTTTTCACATCTAATTGGTTAAGAGGCCAATTATAGGTAGCAGCTAGAGAGATGAAAAGCCGAATAGACGCCATCTTTGCAACAGGAGAAAAAGTCTCAGAATAATCCACTCCATAAGTTTGGGCATACCCCTTTGCAACCAAACGAGCTTTTAACCGTGCTATCGAGCCATTAGGATTAACTGTCACAGTAAACACCCACTTAAAGCCAATTGCTCTTTTGCCAGCAAGTAACTCTACCAAACCCCATGCGGTGTTATGATCAAGAGCATTGAGCTCATCAATCATAGCATCCCGCCATCCAGGATGAGTCAAAGCTTCTCCAACCGTAGATGGAATAGGTATAGAATCAAGGGTAGAGACCAAAGAACGAGATGACCTGGAGAGTTCATCATAAGAAACAAAGGAAGCAATAGGATACGTGCAGGAACGTTTACCTTTCCGGAGAGCAATAGAAGCGTCAAGATCAGGATCCTCATTTACTGGAGTGGGTATAGAAGCTTCAGGAGGTACATCTTTTGGGGATGGTGGATCTGCAGACTCAGATGATATTGGTGAAGACGGAGGAGGTCGTTCGTGCCTATTATATACATGAACAATGGGTGGTCTGGTGGCTTGAGTAGTGGACTCAGGAGTGGGTATGATATACATCAACAAGTCATCATCTTTCTCATTTAAAGGAGTTGGAGGGGAAATTGGGAAGAACGACTGGTTCTCATGGAAGGTAACATCCCGAGATACAATATARCRRTTAAGAKTGGGAGAGAARCAWCTGTAACCCTTTTGGAGACGAGAGTACCCAAGGAACACGCATTTCAGAGATTTGGGATCAAGCTTGGTGATAGTGGGGCGTGTGTCACGAACAAAGCATGTAACACCGAAGATCTTTGGCTCAATAGGGAATAATCGTTGTMYTKGGAACAAAACAGRGAATGGAGTTTCTCCATTCAGGACAACAKACGRCATTCTATTGATAAGAAARCAGGYTGTTGATAYCGCATCGGCCCAAAAAGRCTTAGGGACGGACATCTGAAACAGAAGTGCTCGGGCAACCTCAAGGAGGTGACGATTTTTTCGTTCGGCTACCCCATTTTGTGCTGGAGTATCAACACATGAGGACTTATGAAGGATACCATTTTGCAACATATAGGATTGAATTTGTTGGGATACATACTCTTTTGCATTGTCACTTCGTAAGGTTTTAATAGATGTTTGAAACTGAATTTGGATTTCAGAATGAAAGGAATGTAAATGATTAAACACTTCTGAACGGTTTTTCATGAAGTATAACCAAGTAGTTCGAGAATAATCATCTACAAACGTAACAAAATACTTAAAACCAGACTTTGACGTTACAGGACATGGGCCCTAGACATCAGAATGTACTAATTGAAATGGGGACGCAACCCTCTTATTGACTCTAGGACTTAAGTGAACACGTTGATGTTTGGCAAACTGACATGACTCACATTGTAAATACTGTAAATGGGAAAATTCARGACACAACTTCTTGARACTCTGTAAGGAAGGATGACCTAGTCGACAATGAACATCAAAAGGAGATGATGAACTGGAACTTGCCAAGGAATATGGTTTGGGTGGTTCAAATATGTATAGGCCATCCGACTCCCGTCCTCTACCAATAATCCTCTTCGTCTGCAAATCCTGAAAGACACAATGATCAAGAAAGAATGAGACACTACAATTCAAAGTGCGAGTAATTTTGCTCACAGACAGTAAGTTAAAAGAAAATTTTGGTAGGCTCAGGACTGAGGATAATGAGACAGATGGGGACAATTTAACAATGCCAGACCCAATTATTTGGGAGACAGATCCATCAGCTACTGTGACTTGAGCTGATGATGCATGTTTATTGAAATTTAGGAAAAGGTGGGAATTACCAGTCATATGGTCTGAGGCACCTGAATCAATGACCCATTTGGAGGAGGATGATACAAAGCATTTGCTAGAGTTACTTGTCTCAGCAAACATAGCAGTGGAAGCAACAGGGTGTTCATTTACCAGATGAGGTTCCTCTTTGTGTGTGTTCGTCATATTAATCAAATCAGAAACGAACACCCAAGGGACTGATTATCAAAGGAAACCAGACTAAACAGATAGCAATTAACAGAGTTTGACCAAACAGATGAGATCAGATCTGTTGCGACTAGATAACAGCAAAATTAGACCAAAAAGATGCCGGAAAACAAACCAGATGGGGATTCCGACCAGAACCCTAAAAGTCGAAGGTCGTCGGAGGCCGGAAAAGGGCTCACGCGCCGGCGCGTGGAGGTGTGACGGCAGCGGACTAGGGTTCCGGCAACGGCGGGGGGTTCCGGGATGAACAGTAACTCGATGTGAACAGTAACTCCGATGTGAACAGTACTCCGATGTGAACAGTAACGGCGATAAACCCTAGGCTCTGATACCATGTAATCAGAGAGAACTAGGACCGAGATATTAGAGAGAATTCTCTATTATATGATTAATCAGATAAATTCAAATTTACAAGAGGAGAGACACTATATATAGACATAATTACACGGGAAACCCTAACCCTAAATCCCATCGGGCTTGGACACATTACCATAAACAGGTTACTTAATTAACAAACCATTTCTTCCTCCCTTCCACACTAACCCCTCCCCCCTTCCTTATTGGCCATGCTGCATTTGGATGTCCTTGTAGAGTTTCAGGGAAAATATTTACTTAATTCATATCAAGTGATGTGTATGAATTTCCTCTTATAATTCTAATTTCATAAGCTATTGATTTATGCTAGACTTGCAGAGCGAACTTCAATGTGTATTAAATCTTCAGAAATAATCCTAATTTCATAAGTTATTGATTTGTGATAGACTACCAGAGCAAACTTCTTCATGAGTCCCCTCTTCCTGGAATCACCTAACAAAATATTTACCTAGACACCTGTTTTTGGAAAATGCTATAGTTGGATGCAGTGTGAAATAGGCTGCTAATCTGCTATGGCATACTGAGTATGCCATAAGTTGCTCATTTTAATCTAGTCTGGTTTGAAAAGTAAATGTGTATTTGTCGTACCAAAGAGATTCTTTCATGTAACTCCAAGAAAATTCTCATTTTGCCTTGTAAGGCCCAGTGAGATATTTGATAGAAAAGAAATGGATGAGTTTGATTTGAGTTTAGTTTTTTGAAGTATAATAATATCTATATACGAAAAATGCTCACGCACCCTCCTGACTTTTGGTGAGGTTTGAACCCTTAACCTCTTGGGAGGCTGGGATCTACCAGTAACCCGACCCTTTGGTAAGCAAGTTAGAATTTTTTAGAGAGGGGGATTAAAGAAAATAATATGAAGAAGAATAGAAGTGTCTATTCCCACAAGAATTAGCTGCCATGAGCGTAATAGTTAAATAAAGAGGGGGATTAAAGAAAATAATGTAAGAAGAATAGAAGTGTGTATCCCTGCAAGAATAAGGCATGAGCGTAATAGTTAAATAGTAGTCACTCTATCTCAAATGATGGACATTATGTTTATATATATAACAGCATAGGATCCTACAGAAAAGTAAGTTACTCCATGAAACCTAATTATTCCCTTGCTAAGTTAAATGACAGGCAATTAGATTAAACTTTTTGTAGCTAAGAACTACCAATATCGTCAAGATACTTGTCTAATTTTGTTAATTTCCTGATGACCTACTTAATCTTATGTAACAAATATCAGATTACTTCTACTAAATAGAAGGCAATGTTCTTATAACTATCTTAAACTATTTCCTACCTGATACATAATCCTATTTTGTTTGTATCTCCTACTAGTCTGGGATATTAAACTTTGTATTTCCCATGATTCCTTTCTTGCCATCTCCATTAACGGTGCAAAACCTGAATTGGAACAAATAATTTGCACAAGAACATATAAATGAAACAGAGAGCCTAAAATGACTTAACATACCACATGTACCGAAAACTTGGATAGTGTATGCAATTAAATTGTTCTTCTTCTTATTACACATGTGTCTTACTGTTTTCAGTTTGATGAATCCTAATGTGCTTAAGATATGCTAACATCTTTTACCACATTGTTATTAATTTCCATCCTGAATGCAAATTAATTTATGCAATATAGACAGGAAAACAAGATGATGCAGCAAAACTAAACTACCTTCTTGTCCCTTTCCCTGGTTGACAGGTTGACAAAGGAAAGCTATCAGAGAGAGAAGCTAGAGGATACTTTCAACAGCTTATTGATGCAGTTGCTCATTGTCATTCCAAGGGTGTCTACCATAGGGATTTAAAGGTGAGAAAGGAAGCTCTAAGTGGTGTTTGGTTATTGGGTTTTGGAGTAAAGGAATGGAATGATAGTAAAGTAGGGTTGTTTAGTTTGTGGGTTTGGGTATCTAAAGTTGGAATTATTTCCAATTCTTCGGGGATCATCCAAACTCATGGAGGGGGTTGGGTTTCAGGTCTGTTCCCATACTTGCCCATTTTAATTATTATTATATTTTATAATAATTATAATACTAATATATTATTATTAAAATTTAATTAATATTATTATTATCAGTAGTAATAATTCTGGTGGTAATAAAAATACTTTAATTACTATTTAACATATTATGATTATTTTTAGTAATAATAAAAAATATTATATTATTATTTATATATTATCATTAGTAGTAGTTATCTTAATAATAAATAAAAGTTATTACTATAATTTTTATTAGTAGTATCATTACTTCACCATCAATATTATTATTGGTGTTAATATTTTACTCTTCTTATTGTTAATAATTATTTACTATTATTGTTGTTAATAATATTTTACTATTATTATTACTAATATTATTACCTTGATGATAGAAATTGAAATCTACTGTGTTCCTATACCCAAAGATTAGCAAACTAAATACCAGGTGGAAAACCTAAACCCAACTCATAAACCAAACAACTGTTTTGAAATGATCATACGTTTTCCTGTTCCATCCTGTTATCAATCCTTCCCATAGTGATTCCAAGCAGCAAACAAAATGGCACCTTAAGATATGATTGGATCATTTAAGGTGGAATTTGGTCTTAAATGTTTTTTTGGTCTTCTAACCATGTTCTTCTAATATATAGCCTGAAAATCTCCTTCTTGATTCCGAAGAAAGGCTGAAGGTTTCTGATTTTGGACTCAGTGCACTACCACAAGAAGTAAGAATGATTATTTTCACCATTTTTTCACAGGCTTTGTAATTATTGCTTCTCTTGGCGCTGTTGTTTCTAAGTTAAACTATTTTGCAGGGTGTTGAACTTCTATATACAACTTGTGGAACCCCAAATTACATTGCACCAGAGGTACACCAACTTCAAAAAATCTCAACCATTTGATGGGAAAATGATCCCTCTACTTCCTTAGTTCAACTTCTGCACTAAATACTAAACGGAAATGAATTATGCACATGAAGTCAATCCAGTCAGATATCATTAGTTGCTTCATCTTTGTTGCTTTATTATATTTACAGCAGAATGTAAAACCCTTCTCTAGATTCACTATCATGGTCCAGTTGATATGACCTTTATCACTAAATTTTGCAAGTTCTTACTAATTGTCACTGCACATCAATTGGCCAGCAGAAAGTTACTGTATAATTACTACTCTGCAGCACTTAATGATAATCGATCTTCACCCAGGCATGATGCACCTTGATGAACTAGGGCAGATGTTAGTGTTACCTCTGGAGATATGGAGAATAGTCATAGAATCCCAAGGTTACAAGTTTTCAATATAAATAATAGTTAATTTGTTGTAAATGTCCATGTATAGGTGCCTAGAGAACAAGCTTTTGATTCATTGTGAGGTCAATATTGTAGGCAGGGAAAGGGATTGATGAGGATGCTAGTTATAGGACTAGAACAATGTCGATGAAGTAGCCATAGCAACTGATATGTCGTGTGACCTAGTGATGTACATCATCTTTGTTAAATTCTACATAACTTTAGGGATTAGTTCTTTAGGACGGAGTGAGATTGCTTATGGAGGAAATGCAAGGATTATGTTGGATTGAGTTCCTACTGGCATGCACATGGTTAGAAATAATGTTTACTGAAATGAGGTGGGATGATACCATCTGAGAAGCTAAGAACATCTGTTTGAGATGATGATATCCAACATAGACCTTTGACTGATGTAAATATAATGCTATAATTTAACGAGGAAGAATGTGTCTGCTTAGGTCCTAGCTTATTAGCAAAGTAGGTACATTGATTAAGCCATCTCTTTTCTCTCTATCTCAATCTCCCCTCCCCTCTCCTCCCATAATACCCTATCTGCCCGAGTAATGAGATGAGATATTCTACATCCCATGTCTACCATTTCAAAGTCCTGTCTTTTCTCAATTTAAAGGTGCTTGTTGGAGTTCAGATCGGCTGTGATCTTTTGCTGTGTTTAAAATTAATTTTTGGGTCAATGTCAAATTTCTGTGGAGGATTTTGCAGCTAAGTTCTGTGCTTTGACTAAGGTTCTTACCACTGTTTCCCTTCAGGTTTTAAGCAAGCGTGGATATGATGGTGCTGCTGCTGATATCTGGTCATGTGGAGTCATTCTCTATGTTCTATTAACTGGATATCTTCCGTTTGAGGAGTCAGATCTGCCAACTTTGTATAAAAAGGTTAACTGCCAGGACTTCTATTTACATGTATATCAAATGATTGTTTATTTGATACAATGAAGACTCATAATTATTCTGAATTAATGCACAGGTTAGTGCGGCCGAGTTTTCATATCCGTTTTGGTTCCCTTCTGGTGCAAAGTCATTAATAGACAAGATACTGGATCCCAACCCTGAAACTGTGAGCATCTGTTTTAAATTGTGAAGTTGCAGATATAATTACCAAGATCTGATGATGAGTTACTAAATGGAAAATTATTCAAACTTACAAAATTGGAAGCCCTGTTCCAAAGGGGCTGAACGAATTCCTAATTGGAATTATGGGATCCTTTTGTTGGATGCTTGAACTATCACTGTTTTTAATGTTATCTGATTTTTTAATCAGCTTATCAACTCTGTGGAATAATAAAGTTGATTCGACTATAACTGTAAGGGTTCGAATCTTGCCAAACAAACCAACAAACAATCCCATTGGTCCCAAAATACCGGAATCCAAATGCAAGCTCAACCATAAACAACAAATGTGGAATATTTGGTCTAGCAACAAGTATATGGCCATCCAAGCATAACATACCAACCACAAGCTAAATCCAAGGTAATATAACCATAAAGTAACAAATGTAGTAAACTCAAGGTAATCAAGACATGAGATTTATTGTGGTTCCACTACCTCATGGTAGTGTACGTCTGCCGGGAGAGAGACCACTTGTAGTAATATACCAAAGAGAGCACAAAACAACTCACAAGAGATGATGATCACCAAAACTAGTAGAAAATCCTGATGGAGTAAGTACTCCCTTTTCTCTAGCTATGGAAGAACGCGTATGTTTTTCTTCTCAAAGCTTTAAAAAACTGAAAACAAAGGCTTCTATATGGCAAATATGAGCTAGGGGTCAGGGGCCAAAATGGGTGAAAAACACCAAATCTGCCAAAGAAATTCGACTAAAACAGGACCCCAGGTGGACAATGCGACCTGGGCTATGCGATGTGGCCAGGTCGCAGACAATGTGCCACAATCGCTATGTACCAAATGTTCAGGTGGCTACACGATCCACCTACTCAACCCCCTGCATCGTGGACCACAATCGTGAGATCTGTACTGTTTTTTTTTTTTTTTTTTTGGGGGGGGGGGGGTTGGCCACGTGATCTGTGATATGCGATCCTGTCTAGCTTTCCCAGATTGCTTAGAGCTTTTTGCCCCAGTTCTTGTTTTGTGCGGCATCCAAGATTAACAATATCCATGTAAGTTGCAGTACTTGATTGAAATGCCACATCCTGTTATACTTTTTCTCAACCCCCAAGTCTAAAATGAAAACTTGGTTGTAAAACAGAAACTGGCAGCCATGGGTTATTCACATTTGATGCAATATGCCACCACCACCATCACCAACATTGTCACTACTCTGTCCCAAGAAACAATCCCACTTTATAATTTTTCGTCCTGTCAAAAGAGTCCTATCTGAGCATTTATTAGGAAACGTGTTATGTTACAAGATTTATGCTTGATTTTAAAAGAGTCCCATCTGAGCATTTGACATTAGGAAACGTATTATGTTACAAGATTTATGCTTGATTTTCAAAGATCAGATAAAGAGCCATTTTGTTAATAATTGTCCATAAAAACTCTCTAATTTCTTTCTAGATTTTAGAGTGGACTCCTTTTTGGAATGGAATGAGCATCATTTTAGTTTCCTCAAGTTCTAATAGATTTCAATGATGCTAAATAGCGTCAAAGGTGTGCCATACTTCTTCCTGTTCTAGTTGCTGAAACATCTTTAGGCTCCACCTTCGTATGTCATAATCTACTCAAAGTTGGCAAAAATATTAACAAAATTGGCTAGTTCTTTGGCTTGTGCCTTTTATCCCTTTTAAGTTTTAACTTATTACTTGTTTTCGAAAAAATTACGACACTGTACAGTATCATGCTGGATTGCTAACTTGAAGATTCTTTCATGTAGCGTTTACGAATTGATGGGATACAGGAGCATCCATGGTTCAAAATGAACTACGAATCAATCAGCCAGGGAGAAGATGGTGATGTGAGTTTGGATGATGTCCGTGCAGTTTTTGATGACATTGAGGTTGGACCTTGTCTTTTTTTTTTTTTTTTTGATTTCCTTCCCAATATTACTCATGGAGACTCAAATAAATAGACTGCAGGCTCATTGGTGTGCCTTCTTGTATTATGATCTGAAACTATTTGGCAGTTGAATATTTATTTGGTGGTGTTATGAATTTGTAGGATCAATATGTGACGGAACAATCTAAGGAGAAAATTAGCCCTTTAACAATGAATGCATTTGAGATGATCACCCTCTCTCAAGGACTGAACCTTTCTGCCTTATTTGATAGACGTCAGGTATCTTTATACTTTCTACTTGCTGTTATATATCCAATTGGACCCCAAAAGGTTTTGACTTGCATATCATAATATAAATTCTTTCTACATCCATGCAAATTATGACAATCTCCACTTTGAGATGTCCTGAATACTGACCTCATTTCTCTTTGTGTTAGTAATTGTGGAGCTAAAAGTATCTATTGGTTATTTACACACGTAAATCACATTACAAAACAATTGTGGCATTGATTTTGGTTTACAGGATATACTTCTATTTGAAATGTATGAGTTATATTATAACAAGCACCCTATTTTGTCATGATGGAGAAGCATATTGATATTAGAGTTTGCCTAATAGTCAGAACACTTGTTAATATGTATTTAAGGTTCATTGTTGCAGTTAACATAGGATGGGGGGATTTTAGTGTAAAAAAATAAATAAAATTCACTTTATGTGGATGATGAAGGATAGGTAGTTACGGTGCACCGAGCCCTTGATGATTACCAAAAAGCCCCCTTCCATTTTTTTTGAACGCCTGTTCCATATTGAGTTGTGCCTTGGCAATATGGCATGGCAGCACCTTCATATCATGCAAAGGCCTTGATCTTAGGAAGGTATGTGAGAATGCAATTTATTAAGTCCAGGTGAGGTTTGCCCTATTTTAGTTTTTGATTATCTTATGCATAGACAATATGACCATTTTGGACTATGCAACACACCCACCGATTCGTTTTACCTATGCTAGAAGAAAGCCCAAAAGGAGAAGGGACAGGGGCCACAGGAGGTTTGAAATAAGATTTAGAGTTGGTTTGTCTGGAATTGCATAATAAAGGATTTATTCCTTGAGGGCAAATTAGGGAGTTTCTGCTATTTTCTGTTTCATATGCATGGGAGGGGTGTGGAGTTGGGTATGCAGATCATTATCCTCTTTTTCTTGTGGGAGAAACTAGCCTCTCGAAAAGCTAGGGTCTCTCACTATGGTTAATTGAAGCATCCGACCCTTCCAGTTTAGTTCTTCCTGTTTTAATTTTTTGATATTGTTCTCTGCAGAGTGCAGACTACAAGGCTTAAGTTGTTTCTTTCTGAAACAGTTAATAATTTATTTACTGAACTTAAGAAAAGCTAACATGAATGATGTAACTAACTTGCATATGCAATTGATATGTATTATGGTTCTCACATCAGTTAGAACCTCTTGATTAGTTGTCATGAGTATGATCAGTGATTTGTGTGTCCTGCTCTTTTATTCAGTTGCTCAAAGTAAACTTGTATATTATCTACTTTTAGTTGGTAAATGTAAATGAAATGTTTGGTCATTTCCTGTGACAGGATCATGTAAAGCGACAAACCCGTTTTGTTTCCCGCAAGCCTGCTAGAGATATACTTTCAGCCATTACATCGGTTGCAGAATTATTGGGTTTCAAGGTCAATAGACGTGGCTACAAGGTACATCTGAACTCCATATATGAGATTATTCATTGTTTTTCAGTCTTATTCTGGATATATCCCACTCGGAAGTAAGGATGGACACAGAAGTCTAGCCCTAGGAGTAGAGTGACTGTTTCTATGAAGACTCTGGCTTATGACTCAAGTGTTGAAAAGATTTGAATCTTTTTAAAAGCTTTGAAGATTCTGAGAGGATTTTGAAGAGCTAGATTCCAGTGATGGTGCATTTCTAACTACCAAGCGAAGAGCCCTCTCTCTAGCTATCCTAGGGCAATGCTAACCTATCTGTCGGCTCTCAAGCCCACCCCTCCCACCCTTCTACAGTCTACACCCCCCTTTGTAGTAGATACTAGTCCCTACAGATAAACCGGGCCATTTACTTCTAGCCCACAAAAAGTTGAGTTGTTACGCTTTTACAGACAAGACTCGAGGGAGCGTCCGTGAATAATGCTGGACAATTTGCTGTTGTTTTGGAGGTAAATTTCTAAATTCCACATCTCTTGGTATTTGTTTTGCTTTGCCCAAGGCATGATCTTCTCATTTTTGTTGGATGAGTTCTAATTCCAATCCAAAACCAATCTATGACAATTTAGACTTATTCAGTTTTACCCGTTTTCTGTTGGAAAGTAGCTTACAAACACCATATGCTATTCTTCATTATTGTATCTTAGCAAGTGTAGGCAAATTACCATACCCGTGTTTTTTTTTTAATTCCTGCCATTGTGACCGTAATTTTGTGTGATTGTTGATCCTAACACATTGAACTTGTTGATCAAGGTCTTTGAAGTTGTGCCATCACTTTTCATGATCGATGTTCGAAAGGCTGCCGGAGATACTCTCGAATACCATAAGGCAAGAAACTTGAACCATTTTCTTACTTTGAGTAAACTCTTTACACAACTACACAAGTGTTTGTGTGTTAGTCAAATGTTCTATTACCATTTGGTTTTGAAACAAAAGTAAATTTTGTGGACTAATATCAATTGGTAATTTCATGATAACAAGGTAATTTGCTATTAAACATGAGGTGTCCTAAAAAAGTCGGGCCCCATGAACTATTATTCTTTTTGAAGTATTTATTATAAGGTAAATACTCACGCACACTCCTTAGCAAATCGAACCCTTGACCTCCCGAGAGACTTGGCTCTACCGATTACTGTTAACCTGTTGGACCAATGACCCTTTGGTTTCATGAACGCTTGTTAGTGACTTGATACATGATATATATTTTTGTTGTTGGTGACAGTTCTACAAGGATTTTTGTGCTAAACTGGACCACATCATATGGAAACCAAGAGAAGGCCTGCCAAACTCTGCTCTGCACAGAACGATGACGTGCTGACCCGAGTATGGGAAATGAGTGCAGTAGTGTCGTTGCTCATGTTCAGGTGTAGGCCGTGATTGTACAGCAGGCTAAGGCTAATATATACGTACATGTAGATATAGATACATATACTACTACTACTACTACTACTACTAGGTTTTACAGTGAGTGAGATCCATCTACTATGGCATGTCCTCTTGCTAATAAAGGTAAAACAAACATAAGATAACTAGAAAGTACTTATCATTAATAATAAATTGGAGCCTGGAAAACTATTGATTTTGGCAAAATTTTGTATTTTCTTAGTTTTAGTTGAGCCTTGCCTAAATTTAGAAATTTAAGATGTTAAGCAGAAAGTTGAAAAGCCTTTAATTTAATTTAAGAATAGTTCAAACATCTTTATATATCCATTTGCTTAATAATGCCCTTTTGTTTAAGCGATGGTTTGACCTGTGATTATTGTACTTCATGTAAATAATTTTAAGGGTCGTCCATGAAACCTTGAGAAGATTAGGATCAGTTTGTATTCTACATGCAAAATTTTATCAGTTGGTGTTGTATTTTTGAGTGTTTGCATATGTTGGATTAGTTTTTTTGAGACTGCTTGTGAATGCAAGACAAAAATTATCCAAATCATCATACAAACAGTTCCATCCTTCTAACTCTCGACTTTTTTTTGCGCAATTCGGTTCTTTTCTTTGTGGGTGTTAATCGTTTCACTTTCTAAGAAGAAAGTCAATATATATGTATGTATGTATATATGTATGTATGTATTTATTAAAAGAATAATCAAATAACTTTAAGGTGACATCATTAAAATATCGAGTATTTGATAGGGCAAATTTTTGGCTTTTGTGATATTTGAATCTGGAAACCAAACCAAACCAAAATGTGTCTTTCAATTTGAGCTTTTGCCAATGTGTTGGTTTAGGAAGAGAGAAGTATATAACAGAGGTTTTAAATAATTCAGAATTTAACACATAACGTTGAAACATAGTGGCTACAAGACCAAGTCTCTATACTATGATACCAATAACATGTCGGTTAGATATGATGGATTTGGTTAAGTGCCTTATTTCGATATGGATGATGGTTTCAAAGTATCCTACATTATATATGACTTGACTCGTGACTTATAGGAATTTGGATTTAGGGTTGGGTTTCAGTGAGAAAAGGACTTTATAGTGAGAAGCGTATGAAGGTGGATGCATATTAGGAGGATATACACGGAGACGAGATGCACCGGATCAATCCCCGTATCAAGCGTAATCCATAAGTGGGCATGAGATTAGAAGTGATTAAAGGTTCAAATCTCTTTTTAAGTTTCTCACCGTAATTTCCCTTCTCTATCATTTGCCTTTGGAATAGTCACCCTTATCTAATTATTGTTACATGATGTGTGCTTTGTTATGGAAGTTAAACTCTTGCGGCATACGTCCTTACAAGTCTTGCAAATTCTCATTGGAAAAGAAAACATAGAATTCAAAATTCCTTAAATCCCATACCATTATACGAGCATACTACTAGTAAGTATAATATATATAAATGGTAGGGGGACCTTTTCAGGACTCATTAAACCATGAGATCTTTGAAACTAGCGCATCATGTACTATTCAAAGTTCAAAATGTTGTATGGCGTAACGTGGTGGAGATGTCAAACATCAAGTCTTGCACACAACCTTGAGGATGTAACGTTTTTCAAGGCTTGACATAAGATGGTAAATTTGTATGTATGTATGTATATATATATATAGGTGGAGGTTCAAACGATAACCCCTGTGATTTACATGAATGCGAGAACAACCTAATAACCTCAAATTTTTTTAATTAATAAATTAACTTATATTATATATAAATAATTTAATAAGGGGAGTAACGTAATTAAGTAATTTTTATAATTTTTATTTTATTTCAATTTCATAATTATCCCTTTTGTTGACCACGTCTCCACGTTTTCCTCTGGTTAGTTTTCTTATCTAACCTTCTTCTCCAGATCGTTCATGATAGTCGACTTTCTTAATACCTTTTCTTCATATCGTTAGTATCCATATTTTTGTCGATCTAGAATGGACGACTTGAAACCCATATCACATGATTATCACACCCATAGCACATGATTATCACACCCATATCACATGATTATCACACCATATCACACAAAAGCGTTTTCGTTGTGATAAATGTTTGATTGTCTAATCCTAACCTATCGAAACCATCCGAAATCGTTGTGATAATGTCTAACCTAATCCAATGAAACCATGATCAAGTCGAGTTCTATTGATATCACATGATTATCACACCCATATCATATGATTATCACACTCATATCACACAAAATCGTTTTCGTTGTGATAAATGTKTGATTRTCTAATCCTAACCTATCGAAACCATCCGAAATCGTTGTGATAATGTCTAACCTAACCCATTGAAACCATAATCAAGTCGAGTGATATTGATATCACATGATTATCACACTCATATCACACAAAATCGTTTAATTGATTTCGTCAGTAATTCGTTGTGATAAATGTGTGATAAACTAATTAGATAAGACGTTATRACTTCTTTGTTGDTCTYHTTGAATTYTTAACCGATATATTAGATAAGGATAATCAATATTAATCATGTGATCGTGTTAAAATATTTTATGATATCATTTCCATTATTACCCTTTTAATTTTTAATTTTTTTGAATCTTTTTAAATTTCAATTTTAATTTAAAAAATCTTTTAATTTTATTTTTTATCACAATATGAGGTTAATAGGTTGTTCTCGCGTTCTCGTAAATCACAGGGGTTCTCGTTTGAACCCTTCCCTATATATATATATATATATATATATACATACATACATACATACATACATATGTTTTCTATATATTGTTTAATCAGATAATGTTATTATAAAATTTACGTTCATATTAGAAGAAGAGAAATTATATAGATTATTATAAAAAAATAGTTTTTGAATGAATATTTAAAATTATAATTTTACAACATTTTAATCGTGAGTCCATGATGTTTTTGATTTTGTCACTGGTACTATTTCATATGATTTTTTCCATCCATGCTTAAAATTTAATGTAGTGATTGATATATATTTGTTTCACAATGTGCTTGTTTGACATGTACTCGATTCACCATGTGCACCTTTTTCGCTCGTTTGTGAAAAAAAAATATACACAATTTTTTTTTCCACATTATGAATTGAATATATATAAAACAAAGACAATCCGAAACAAATATATGTTAATCAATATTTCCCGTCCTAAAATAAGTGTCTACATTACAATTTTAGCTTGTCCCAAAATAAATGTTCACTTTGAAAAATAAATGTCTACTATCAAATTCTATTTTTAATTATGTGATGAAAGCAATTTCTCTCTATATAATTAAGGGTTTTATTGTCTTTTTATTAATTAAAAAGTATTATAATGACATTCTTAAAATTATGTGTTTTTCAATTGTGAACATTTATTTTGTAATGGATGATATACATTAAAATACTGTACTTCGAGGGAAAAAAATCACGTGAAATAAAATTTTAAAGTAAAAGTTTCTCACGTGGCTCACAAAATTTGGAATTCTCAAATGAATAAACCCCGTAAATGATATTACATAATACATATAAATTAGATTTTACTTTTAAAAAAAAGAAAAATGACATAAAGTAAAAAATGCCCCATATTTAACTAGGTTTTTTTTAACGGTTGTTAAAAAATGGGATCAAATCGAAACACTTTTCGGGGTGTTTGAGATTACTTATAAAAACAATTTATTGACTTATTCCGGTATGATATCGGTAATAAACATTTTTGAGTGTTTGGATAAACAACTTATACCGGTGCCAAACCGGTAATAAGAAGTTTTTGAAGAAGTTAAATTCTTCTGACTTATAATAAGTTGATAAGTACTTTTGTAAAGAAGCATAAGTTGTTTCAAATAAGCAATCCCAAATACCCTCTTATAAACCATGATAATGATCTTGTATTTAAAAAGACAAAATAATATTACGCCTACCCAAATTTGTAGTTTACACAAAATACCATAATGCATTTTTTAAACAAAGTTAAATAATTTAATAGAACTTAAGAATCAAAACTCATAATTAATGAACAAGTAACTATCAAATACATGTATAGGGGTTGTTTGTTTACCTCTTAATAGTTTCATTAATAGACAATCTCTGAATCGTTAAGAGGTGAATCTTGTTTGGTAAAAGAAAAAGTCTGACTCTTAATGGTTCTAAAACTCTTTGAATGATTTTGTATCTTAGGTCTCCCTTAACCATTCAGCGCTCTAATTCTATTGTAAACAATTACCGAACAATTATGTTTCACTTTGCACTATATCATGAGAGTCTCTTAATCATTTTGACCACTTAATTATTTTACATTAAATTATTCAGCAACTACTATACAATCCTATATTAATACTATGAATGATTCAACAATGAATACCGATAATAATATCATATAAAAGAACGTTGTTTTGTACTCTTAAATATACTGAAATCCACATGTGGTTTTCGCCAATTTTTATGCAACCGTTAGTATCGGTAACCGGTATGAGGAGGGCAAGATGCATAAAACACGTGGCCGAATGTCAGGAATCCACGTAGCCATATAACATGCCTTTCTTGTTTCTCGGTCAAACATAAAAATCGGAATAGTTTCACTGGACACCCTATACTTTTTGTTTGTTTACAAAAGACCCCCACAAAAAAAAAATTCCCTTCATTTCAATCCAAATATGAATTAGCTCTAGATTTAGAACTTCAAAACCAAAAGGGAATTCCCTTTAGATTTTAATGTATTCATCAAATATTATTTAAAGACCAAATGCAGACAAAAAAAAATGTGAACACATATGACCATGAAAACAAAAAGATAAATTTTAGAAGATGAAAATTGATAAAAAGATTAAAGTAGAGGGGGTTTAGTGGAATTTGTCGACTATCATTAGAAAGAGCAACAAAATCGCAGTGGCCAGTGTCCTTATACACTGCTTCAGGTGTAAATGGGGAGAAACTTTTTGTCTCGATGAATGAATGCATCGATAATATATGATCGCACTATCTGTAATCAATCTCTGTAAGGAGAAAACAGAGCGGCTGTTGATCGCTAACAAGACGAGGTTTGTTCGCTGTTCTTCATTCTCGTTTGATTTATTTTGTTACGGAATCAAGCGATTGGAATTTGATGTAATGTTATTAGTTCGAATGCTTCGTTTTTGTTTCTAATTTGGTTCGTTTTTTATTTTAGGGATTTATGATGCATAATTTTGAATTTGTAAATAATATGCTTGAATTTTGGTTGTTTGGTGATAGGATCATGTCTAATTGATGTTGATTTCTGGTTTTCTACTATGAATTCTAATGTTCTTTAATTTCTATTTCTAATTAATTCAATCTTGATGTTTTACTGATTCATGATGGGTATGTGTGGCATGCAATATTTACTTATCATTTGGATTCATTTATATATGTTGCTAAAAAAAGCATTTGGTATGAAATATAATTAAGTTAAATTTATACCTCTCTTGGTAAGGGGTTGTTCATGTATATATCCAGGTATTGAATTATGGATATAACATTTTGTGCCATACAGCCTTTACATGTCTGAATTATGAATATCTGTTTGAGCGTTGCATGCATCTTTTCTATTCTTCTGATTTGTTTAAATATGCGTGCTATTTTGGTTTGTCTATAGTGGCATGAATCTTTGTCAATTGTTATATATATATATATATATATATATATATATATATATATATATATATATTTGCATAATATGCTTTTATGTTGTTGAAATATCAAAAACTTTTCCTTGTTTTACTGTTTGTTGTATCAGTTGGTTGTTAAAAGTTTGTTGGTTAAAGATTAAAATTTGTTTTTGCAGGACTTGAGCTTGGTTAAAAAATAGAGAACATAAAGTTTGGCTGAAAATGGTATGGTTTAGAGCTGGATCTAGTGTGGCAAAGCTTGCAATAAGGAGAACTCTACGACGGGGTGTATCATATGCTGCAAGAACGCGTGTTCTTTCATCAGGAAGTCGCTCTTTTCATACTACGATTTTCAAATCAAAATCAGAACCTGGACCAGTCCCTAGATCTGTTCCACTTTCTAGGTTATCAGATAGCTTCTTAGATGGAACTAGTAGTGTCTACTTGGAAGAGCTTCAGAGAGCCTGGGAGGCTGACCCAGATAGTGTTGATGAGTCATGGGACAATTTCTTTAGGAACTTCATTGGCCAGGCAACTCCGTCTGCTGGAGTATCCGGTCAAACTATTCAAGAGAGCATGCGGTTATTATTGCTCGTGAGAGCTTACCAAGTCCATGGTCACATGAAAGCCAAATTGGATCCACTGGGTCTCGAGCAGAGGGAGATTCCTGATGATTTGAATCCGGGTTTTTATGGCTTCAGTGAAGCTGATTTAGATCGTGAATTTTTTCTAGGTGTATGGAGGATGTCTGGGTTTTTGTCTGAAAACCGGCCTGTGCAAACTCTTAGAGCAATTTTAACTAGACTTGAACAGGCTTATTGTGGAAGCATTGGTTATGAGTACATGCACATTCCAAATCGTGAACAATGTAATTGGTTAAGAGACAGAATAGAGACTCCGTCTTCAATTGAATATAACAGTCAACGACGTGAGGTTATCCTTGACAGGCTCATTTGGAGTACTCAGTTTGAGAACTTCTTGGCTACCAAGTGGACTGCTGCTAAGAGGTTTGGACTTGAAGGTGGTGAGACATTAATACCTGGCATGAAAGAGATGTTTGATAGGTCGGCAAATCTTGGTGTTGAGAGCATCGTGATTGGGATGTCTCATAGAGGAAGATTGAACGTTTTAGGTAATGTTGTTCGGAAGCCATTGCGTCAAATTTTCAGCGAATTCAGTGGTGGTACAAAGCCAGTCGATGATGTTGGACTTTATACTGGAACTGGTGATGTCAAGTATCACTTAGGAACTTCTTATGATCGCCCAATGAGAGGTGGAAAGAGAATTCATTTATCTTTGGTTGCAAACCCCAGTCACTTGGAAGCTGTAGATCCTGTTGTAATTGGAAAAACAAGAGCAAAACAATATTATTCAAATGATGTGGATAGAACAAAGAACATGGGCATCCTAATTCATGGGGATGGAAGCTTTGCTGGACAAGGTGTGGTCTATGAGACATTGCATTTGAGTGCTCTCCCAAATTACACAACCGGCGGCACTATCCACATTGTGGTGAACAATCAAGTTGCCTTTACCACTGATCCAAAATCTGGAAGATCATCACAATATTGTACAGATGTTGCTAAAGCTTTGGATGCTCCTATTTTCCATGTTAACGGTGATGATGTAGAAGCAGTTGTTCATACTTGTGAGCTTGCAGCAGAGTGGCGTCAAACATTTCATTCAGATGTTGTGGTTGACATCACTTGTTATCGTCGATTTGGGCATAATGAAATTGATGAACCATCTTTTACACAACCAAAAATGTACAAGGTTAGCTCTCGTGCATTGTATTCTCACTTTGCTATTGCTACCTTCCTCTCTCCTAGATTCATGTTCCTTTTATTTTGATGTCTTAGCTTGTAATATTTTAAGGACAATTTCTAAAATTTGTGGTTGGTGTTGATTGCTATAGATTATCCGCAATCACCCCTCTGCACTTGAAATATACCAAAGGAAGCTCTTAGAAACTGGTGAAACCACAAAAGAAGACATTGACAAAATACAAAATAAAGTTACCTCGATCCTGAATGAAGAATTTGGGGCTAGCAAGGATTATATTCAGCAAAGAAGGGATTGGCTTTCAGCTTACTGGTCAGGATTTAAGTCCCCTGAACAGCTTTCACGTATTCGTAACACTGGGTAAGTTACCTGTATGTTGTTTACACCCATGTTATCATGATTAGAGATCTGTTAAGATGTTTATGCTGCTGTTCTTCAGGGTTCAACCTGAGATCTTAAAGAATGTTGGGAAGACAATCACAACCCTTCCAGAAAACTTCAAGCCTCACAGAGCAGTTAAAAAGATATTTGCTGATCGTTTAAAGATGATTGAAACAAGTGAGGGTGTGGATTGGGCGGTAGCAGAAGCCCTTGCTTTTGCAACATTGCTAGTGGAGGGGAATCATGTGAGGTTGAGTGGTCAAGATGTCGAAAGAGGTACTTTTAGTCATAGGCATTCTGTTATCCATGACCAAGAAACTGGGGAGCGGTATTGCCCTTTGGACCATGTTATAATGAATCAGAATGAGGAAATGTTCACTGTTAGCAACAGGTAAGTTATTATGACATTTATAAATCTGTATAAATGTTTTTAAAGTCTTTTTCTTTAAATTTTTCTCAAATATGAATGTTTCTCTCTATCATTTTCTTTTGCTAGTAAAAGCACATTATCATCAACTCCATATTCATATTCTGTTAATTTGAGAAAAACAAAAGGTCACATATCTTTTTTTTGTCATATCAGAGCAAAAAAAGGTGGCCAATAGATGCGTGGCAATTCATAGGTGCCTTTATTGTGACCTTGATAGTCATTTTAACATTTAGAGTATGCATACACAAGTTTGTTTTTGTTTTTTGCTATGAATTTACAGGTATTGAGATAAACCAAACCAAATCAATCATACCTGCTATAGTCTATCCCGAGGTAGGCTCTGGGAAAGGTATAATGTATGCCGACAATATCTCTACCCTAGGAGTAGGGAGGTTGTTTTTATGAAAACCCCCGACCTGTGAAATATTTTTTTTTAAATTAGGAAGGGACAAAAATTAGTTACCCGAACCAACAGAATGCTAGGAAAAGTTTCTAAGGAAGCAACAATTGGAAAATGCGTAAAATAAAAGAATGCATAAAAGGCCACATACGAGATGGGAGCCTAGATGGTAAAACATATAATAAAACATAATTATTTAAGGGTAAAATGCACAAGAAACATAAAAAATGATCCTCCTAGGGTTACTTGTATCAATAGGTCAAAGAGCCTATGTACTACTTATCGTAGAAGTTACGCTATTAACTGACTTTACCCAAAATCCATTCTAAGGTCGTTATTCAGCAAGGTGTAAGGCTCAGACACCTAGCCTTAACTACTCATCCCACATCCTCCTTGAACAATTTTTCATCTTTACTCTTGCAATTGACATGCTCTCTAACCTTGTCACTACTGTCGTCATCAGTCTCTTGTGAAAGTGTCCAAACAACTACATCTTCCCTCCCCTACTTCATTTGTGATAGGTGCCAATCCTAGCTTTGTCCAAAATACCTCATTTGGTATCCTGTCCAACATGGTTTTCACAGGTCTATCACAAAATAACATCCTAATTTCTGCCACTTCCAACTTCCTTTCATGCGCCTTCTTTATCCCCCAACACTGGACCCATACATCATAGCCGGTCGAATGGCCACCCATTGAATTTTCTCTTCCAAGTTTTAGCAGTACCTTATTGTCACACATAACTCCAGTGCTAGCTCTGCACTTCAACCACCTAGCTTTTATGCGACCTATAATATTGCCCTCCACCTCTCCTCCTTGCGTATCATGGAACCACCGTCCTTTCGTGAAACTCTTTGATCCTAGATCTTTAGTTCCACGTCCTCTTCATTGCACTCGCTACTGAAATTACACCAAAGATATTCATTCTTAGATCGACTAATGCATAAACCTTGCTTTTTCAAGGCCGTTATCTGCCATTCCAACCTAGCATTCATCTTCTATTTCGTCCTTGCTACAAGAGTAATGTCATGTTGGAATAACATACACTATGGAACACTCCTCTGGATCCTATGAGAACTCTCATCCAAAATCACCGCAAAGAGGAAAGGACTCGGTGTTATCCCTGGTACAACCCTACCTTTACCTGAAAATACTCTCGTATACATATCATGTTTGCTCTTATGTACCTTGATGGTATCCTTCTGTCCTCAAGGCACTCATAAGCTTTTTTCTAGTTTGTAAACACCAAGCGGACATCCCTACCACATTTTCTATATTTCTCGATGATTCATACGAGTATGTGGACAGCTTCAAAATGTTTACCCATTTCTAAATTGCGACTCCAAAATGGATGTAATGTGATCAAACACTATATCAGCTAACAAGTTCTAAAGTGCCAAAAGAAACAAGAGATTTAAGTCTATCCATTAAAATGTGACCTAATCTAGCATGCCAAACATCAAAAGTACTTTATATGGGGGAAGTAGAAAGCACAAATGGAACATGTTACTTTTTCAATTTATTCCTTTTGGTTTTTCAAGAAGATATCTCAGATCTTTGAAAAACAATGAATATGTGTGACAAAATAGAGTACTTATATGGTGTACCATACAATGGTAGGGGTATTCAAAATAACCATCGAACCGTTTAAATCAGACCGTTTTTGATGGTTTGAACGATGTGATGGTCCAGTCTGGTCTAAAAAATAGTCAAATTGTTCGGTCTAATCCAATATATGGTTTGATTTTTTTTAATAGTTTGGACCATATCGACCGTCAAAATACATATGTATTAATTATATTTAACTTACATATTGTAGACTTAACTTTTATGACCCAATTAAAAAACGTCCATCTAATAATACATTAAGTTTTTAGGTTTTAGTTCTAAATTATTCACATTCCAAAATCTGCAAAATTCAAAATCTGTTAAAAATATCAAAATCTATTCCAAATTGTGCTTTGATTTACTTAATGTTTATCCAAACTTGCAATTATTGTCATGTGGAACCATTTAACTCTTTTTCGACTTGCTTAACGTTTTTCTTTTAATTGTTGGAGATAGATGTTGCTTTCATAAATTGGTATAATAAATATGATAATATTGTAAATTTCATTTTGAAAACAAATGTTATGTTTATTTCAAATTTAAAGCTCATAATAGATCCAAACCACCTAAACCGGTCATACTAGACCGTCTTTTTGTGGTCCGGTTTAACTACTTACTGCAAAAAAATTCGGTTTGGAAAATTTCTTGAACCACCATTGCGGTTAGGTTTGTGGTTTGAGGAGTTAAACCGTCCAAACTGGACCGCGACACACCTACATACACATACTGGGCCATGGGTGGAAATTCAATAGAAACCCTAAATTATGATAGATAAACCCTAATAGTCATCTTTTATGATTGTTATTCTCATGAATGTAACATTTGGGGATGAAATTCCATGTACCACTTTTGTGGCTTAAAAGTTATCATGCTCCTTGTATTACTTTCATTGTTTGTTAGATATCTGCAAGCTTAATACAAATTGTTAATGATGTTTCACTGTTTCTTCACTTGACTTCTTGTGTTTTGTTCAGTACATCTACATTTTAATTAAAATTTCTATACAGCTCTCTTTCAGAGTTTGGTGTCCTAGGATTCGAATTGGGTTATTCAATGGAAAACCCAAATTCATTGGTGTTATGGGAAGCCCAATTTGGTGATTTTTCCAATGGAGCTCAGGTGATGTTTGATCAGTTCTTGAGTAGTGGGGAGGCTAAGTGGCTACGTCAGACTGGGTTGGTTGTGTTGCTGCCTCATGGTTATGATGGTCAGGGCCCTGAACATTCTAGTGCAAGGCTCGAACGTTTCCTTCAGGTATCCATTCCTCTTGCCAATAATTATGTTCCTTAACATTAGGACCATTATGTTTTTCATGTACCGGTTATGTGGTTAACAAATAAATTAAACGAACATGTATTATGTATTGGCTATTTTAAATCGTTTTATAACTCGTTTTTACTTGTAAAATGTGATGGCAGATGAGTGATGATAATCCGTTTGTTATACCCGAGATGGAACCAACACTACGTAAGCAAATCCAAACATCGAATTGGCAGGTAGTCAATGTTACGACCCCAGCAAATTATTTCCATGTCTTGCGTCGCCAGGTAATTAATAAGCTTGTCTAACAATATAACACACAGACACGCACATACACATCAGCCGGTTTTATGGAATTCATAATCCCTTCTTACGTTTTTGTTGGTATATATTCTTAGTTGCATAGGGAATTCCGTAAGCCGCTTATTGTGATGTCTCCTAAGAATTTGCTTCGCCATAAAGATTGCAAATCAAATCTATCAGAGTTCGATGATGCCAAAGGTCACCCGGGTTACGATAAACAAGGGACCAGGTTCAAACGGCTTATCAAGGATCAGAATGGTCATTCAGATGTTGAAGAGGGCATTAGACGTTTAGTTCTTTGCTCTGGAAAGGTATTTAGAGCAGTTACTTTTTAAAACCTTTGCCATTTGCTGTAACTTCATTAATTTTGTAGGTCTATTATGAACTTGATGAACAAAGGAAGTCAGTGAATAGCAAAGACATTGCAATTTGTCGAGTAGAACAACTTTGCCCTTTCCCATATGACCTCATCCAGCGTGAACTAAAGCGTTACCCAAGTAAGTAGGTGGTAATATATAATCACATGTGAATATGCTCATATTAATGCATATACATCTGATGAATATTTATTTCTACTGTTTTGTTGCTGAAACAATATCCATAACTATAATTCACTTAATTATGAATTAGGTAATAGAGATGATTAATTAAAAGTGTTGTTTGTGTGTGTGATTCAGATGCGGAAATCGTTTGGTGCCAGGAGGAGCCAATGAATATGGGGGCGTACACTTACATTGCTCCTCGTCTTGCTACCTCCATGAAGGAGGTGGGAAGAGGTAACATAGACAACATCAAATACGTGGGTCGTGCTCCATCTGCTGCTACTGCAACCGGATTCTACGGAGTTCATGGTAAAGAACAATCCGAGTTAGTCCAGGAAGCCATGCAGCCCGATCCCATCGCCAACCCCTCCCTTGCTTAATTACTACAAAATCGTAATTACCAAACTTAATAAGAAGGATAATTGATGAATGCTACAATATTATCAGATATGCAATGTCATCTAGAATAAGTTTTGCTGCAATTTTTGTTCGTTTTCACAAACTTATTCAGACGGGCCATTATATAACAAGGAACCGATGCGAAGTTGGACGATCTTATATATATTGAATTTTTGGGATATACTTAAAAAAATGAGTTTATAACATAAAATTTGATAGATGTTCATTATAAAAGCATGATTAGCCTTGAACACTCTACGACTAATCTCTAACTAGTTAATCAAACCTAGTCACGAACTTAGAGTTTAATTGCCAATTGCATTAACGTCAAACAAACACCAAGACTAATCGACAATCGAGCGTTGATTGATTAAATTAAATTATATGATCTTACAACATCAACGTTTAACATACATATCAATTGTGTGTTATGTGCTACTTAGATAAACTGGAAAACAATTACGGACTTAGAAGTTCATCTAGCGACTCAAAATTGAATCAGACACATAATGGGATCCTACTCAAAATATCTAACTCAAAATGATAAATATTAACTCTAAAATCGCATAAATGGATTCAAATGATATTAAAATCAACATAAGTCTCTACTAATCCAAATTCAAAGTAAATCACATACTTATTGCCGGAATATGAAGTTTAGCTGCTCATATCTGACGTTTAAAAACCAAAGGTACTTACAAAAGTTTGCAGAGTTGAAATTAAGGAAGGACCCTAGAAATTGTCTCCAAAATCGCCTCCCAGAATCTGAAAATCGGACCTTAGATCTCCCTCCGAAAATCGACCGAGAGCTCCCATCGGCTTTTTGTTTCTTCCCAATTTTGTCGCTGACCAATCCCTCTCGATCGACAGTTTCTGCTCCTTCTCTCGGTTTCAGTTATGCTCCCTCATTGAAATTGATCAGCCCTTCGATTTCTATCCTCTGTTTCTGTCCTCGTCCCTGTCTCCCTCTATTTCTGGCTTGGTCGAAGAAAACCGCTTCACCGGGAACCGCTGCTGTTGAGCTTCTGCTGATAGGTTGTTGCTGTCCATTGGGCAACGATCTTGGGCCTTTGGCATTTGGGCTCTTTTCTGTTCTAGGCCCAAACAAAACAAATGAGACCAACAAAACAAGTGGAGTAAGACGTGGGTTTTATTAAGGGGTTGTTCGGTTCGTTTTCTGTTAAGACTTGTATGGATATAGCTGTCTGTCTTGATATAGTTGTTTGTATATTAACATATAAGTTGTTGTTTGGTTGTTGTGCTGAATAAATAGTCTGAAGGTCATAAATGACCATTTTACCCCCAGTCTTTATTTTTGTATGAATAAAACCTAGTTTGATAAAAATGTTGAACAAATGACTTTTTAATTGTAAATTTTAGTGGATCAATTTTATTATATCATATACCCATAACAAGAACAACAAGTAGATCAAATGAAACCAAAATATTAAATCAAATGAAACCCCAATTCAAAATAACTCAATTAAGTGAAACCCTAAATACATGTGAATCAAAAGACTGAAGGCGAAGAACAAATCTATACTATACGTGAAACCCCAAATCAGTAAAACCCTCTCGATATTTCTTTGAAAACAACAATGAGGAGGTGATCGACGATGGAGGAGGATATGACCAACGATGAGAGACTATGAGCTAGCTGACCTACGATGGAGGAGGAGGCGATAATCGGCGATAGGGGAAGAGGTGATGAACGACGACAGGGGGGAGGAGATGACCAATGGTTGAGGAGGAAATGATCGACGATGGAGGAGGAGAGGACCAACAATGGGAGACGATGAGCTAGTTGACCTACGATGGGGGAGGAGGTGATGACCAGTGATAGGGGAAGAGGTGATGACCGACGACAAGGGGAGGATGAGATGACCAACGATGGAGGAGGGGGTGATCGATTTGGTAAGTTTTCCATGGATCTTTGACAAAAACTAAAGAATACAGGGTTGAATACAAAGGGGAAAGGCTGTCGGGGGAAGGGTAGTTAGAGGAAATTCAATGGCTAAATACAAATGACATAAGTTTTGTAGCTGAGCGATCCAGCCATGGGATGACCGAATAAGCCCATACCGAATAACTAGATATGGTTATGCGAATAAGACACATAGCTTATACATCTCATTAAGCCGCAACTAAACAGTCCCTAAGAGGCATTTGGCTTTGTAAGTTCAACTTTAGTCATGTTTAAGATATATGCCCATTCTTGTAGATATGTAAAATATACGCTCTATTTTACTTAAATGCATCCTCTTTTTACACATACTACAAATCAAGATTAAGGAGGTTTATTATCTATTAAATCATGATAAAGTGTAAGAGATTTTGATATAAAACTGAGTTCAAAATTATGTTTTAAGATATACATTGTGGTAGTAGGTAAGATGGGGTGCTTGCAAAGCTGATAATATGGACAAACATATGAAAGGAAAGAGGGATATTAGTTTTTGGTGATATAGTAAGACCAAGACCAATTTTAATCAACTTTGATGGGTTAATTAGCTCACTTTCAATAAGACTCGGGTTTCTAGAAATCTTCCTCAAAAGTCATCGACTCGAGTTCCTTGTGAGGATCATTTTAGTTCTTCAAGACCCTATGGAATTAATTGAGATATGCATAAACTAATTCAAACACCTACAAATCTTGTGGGGTTAGCTCAATTAGACAATAAGACTTAGGGCTTGTTTGTTTTTTGAAAAAAAACCACTTAATGCCTCTTAAGTCTGAACCGGTCAGACGTTTTTATTTTCAGACCGTTTGTTTTTTTTTATGTAATAAGAGCTGAAAAGCTCTTAATTTGCTCTGAAAAAAAAAGTGATAACATAATCACTTAAATCTTCTTAGTCGCTCCCTCCAGACTCTCCCCTCCATCATCACCTCCAGATTTAGTCCTCCAAATCTATCTCGCAAGACATTCGATCTCCAAATCAATCACGACCCAGATCGATCCACATATTCTCGTAAAATCATGACCCAGATCGATCCAAATCTATCAGATCCGAAACTTGACTGATTCAGATTTTAGATGTAAAAACAAACAGTCTGACTGATTCAGATTTCAGACTTTAGTACCACCTCTTAAAATTCAGAAATGAAATCAGACTTCAGACTTTTGAACCTCTTAAAAAACAAACGCCATCTTAGTTCTTTAGGGATTCTTCTCAGAGGTCAACGGTAGAGTCCTGCAAAGCTACAAAGGATTTTTTTTTTTTGGCTATTCTCTAAAACCCTTGGAATTAGTTAAGATATGCACAAGTTGGTCCGAACATTCACTGTTAACAAAAATAAATAAATTAAAATAATAAAAAACCAAATAAATATGATATAAATTTGTTTTGAACCTTATCCTACACCTTTTTAGGTAGTGAAAATTTCAAAAAGGTTGTGCCATTGGGGGTAGGTATTAGGTATATGGCCTTTTGGAATCTTTGCTATTATGGCTCTTCAACAACAAAATGGTCATATTATCATTCAACCATTTTCATATCAATATTGTATTGTATATATGGTAATGAGTGTAATAATTAAACACCATAACAACTCTCTTAATGTATTCATAATCTGTCATGTTCATTCCTTGTGACCTATTTTTTTTTTATTTTTAAAATTGTTAATTAATTTTTTAATGATGGATGTGTATATATATATATATATATATATATATATATAGTTCCATTAAGATGCAACATTAGAATCATTAACAGATGAATCTTGTTTGGTAAAAAAAAAAGTTTGTGTCTTAATGTGTCTAAAACCATCTGAATGATTTTGTATCATGGTTCTCCTTTAATCATTCAGCGCCCTAATTTCATTGTACACAATTATCAAACAATTATATTTCATTTTGCACTATATCATGAGAGTCTTTTAATCATTCTGTACCAAACCATTCAAAAACTGTCAAACAACCCATAAGTATGTTAAAACTCCACCATTGACTTAGGGGTATTTAAGTCTTTTTAATTTAATAAAACTATATATTTTTTTGACAAAAAAGTCAATAGATAAAAAAATATATTGTTTTATTATTGTTTGTGATAAAATAATTTAATTACGACTAGTTTTTTATTTCCTGTCATTATAGCTTTCGCTTTTTATGAGTTCGATTTTTTGTGACTAACGTCGTTCAAGTGCAAGTTGTTAAGTACACCCCATATAAGAGTATATAAATTCTTTTTTTTCCTGCCTTAGAGATCAATGGATTATACTTTTGCATAACCAAACAATATCATGTGAGGGGTACCTATCGACTTGTACTTGGATGATGTTTGTAACAGAAATCAACTAAAACTATAATAACCAAAACTATGAAACAACGAATTGTATGAAAAATATTTAATTATTTTTATTATAATCAATAATAAAATTATATAAATGTTATTATGTATTAATTCTTTATCAAAAAACTATAGTTTGATTAAATTAAAAAGATTAAAATACCAAAAAAAAGAAACCCAAAAAGATATTTAATAAATCAAAAAGAAAAAAAAATTCAAAAACACTACAATATACCTTAAATTAAATGGAAGATTTTTATTAGATTTACGGGTTGTTTACCAAACGCTTATCCAGATTAGTACTTACCTAGTTATATAGCCTTAACCAATGAATATGACAAGAATCAAGAATCTTACCCGGTAAGATGAAGGCAATGACCGAGAGTCTTACCCGGTAAGTGCGAACGAGAGCTCTTACCCGATTAGCGCTTATCAGGTAAATTTTTCCATACAATCTCGTGTTAATGGACTAAAATAAGGTAAATAATAATGTTAAATTTAACCGATAAGTGCTTATCGAGTAAGTGTTTGGGTAAATAACCCCTAGTCTCAGGGACGAAAAAACAATAAATTATAAATTATTGGAACAAAAATAACAAGAAGTTATAAATCATATGGACAAAAAGTTCGAAATTTTAAAACCAGAGAAACAAAAATCATAGTTTAATATTTCAAAAAAATAACTCACCTTTTTGATTTTATAACAAAATAATAAGAAAAAAAAATCAAATACTTAAAATGTATTTTATCGTGGTGTTTTGAAATCAAAGTTTTTGAGCATCGAGCACAATCCATCTGTTGCTATATTTATGCAAAAAATGATTCAATAAAGAATATTGTAGGAGGATTTCGAAAATACAGAGAAACGATAAGTAAAAAAACCAGATAAAATCATGAAATTGTGTAGAGTTTGTTTTCTTTAAGTTATATTTTGATCCTTATTTGTATGGGTATCACGAAATGAACTCGAGGATAACCACAAATTTTTTGTAACCATTTGTTTTATTTTATTAGTAATGGTTGTTGGAGTAATTGGTGAGCGGATAAATGCACATTAGTTACAAAGCAACTACTTACACGAATTAGAAGATAACTCAGAAGATATTATCATCATTCTTTTCTTTATTTTTATTTAATTTTTGAAATCGAAATCTAAAAAAATATCTGGAATTTTTTTTTAACGTTCAATAGGATTTGAACCTATCTCAAAGGTTTAGAAGACCTTTGTCCTATTTATTAGACAATGGACACAATGGACGCTTTTCATTCATTGGTCTAATGAAATAATAACTCTTCATTTTAGTTTGTTTATTTCAACTCCATAAAGCCCGTGGTAGCAACGGAACTGGGGAAAGTATACAGAAAAGACAGTCGAATTAGAAGATAACTCAGAAGCTTTTTAGAGTCAGAAGCTTCTGAAGAGGACTCATAGATGACGTTTGTTTTTTAAGAGATGCTAAAAGTCTGATTTCACTTTTGATTTATAAGTGGTGATGCTGAAGTCTGAAATCTGAATCAGTCAGACTGTTTATTTTTACGTCTGAAGTCTGAAATCTGAATCAGTAATACTGTTTGTTTTTGTAAACTGGCAAACGTCTAAAGTCTGAAATTTGAATCAATAAACTGTTTGTTTTTGTAAACTGACATATGCCTAAAGTTTGAAATCTGAATCAATTCATTTTAATTAAATTCAACTGAAATATCAAATAAGTTAAAC